TTTTCAGTAAAATTTTACTAATAAATAGTAATTTTTACTAATTCATTAATAAAATTGACTAATTCAATTGCCAAATGTCAATCACTGGTTCAAATTAGTAAAAAATTTTACTAATTAAAATTTAGACAGTAGTGAACATTAAATTAGTAAATATGAAATGCTATTTATTTGTAAATTTTACTATAACAAATATAGTACTAATTTCTACAAATTTTTTAGTAAAATTTTACTAATATGTAAATAGTAATTTTTTTATTAATTTTTTTATAAATTAGTTGAAATCTTTACTAATTTGAATTAGTGATTGACTTTTGCTATTGAATTAGTAAATTTTACTAATAAATATAGTAATTTCTACTAATTATGTAGCAAAATTTTACTTATAAATAGAAATTTCTACTAATTGGTGAATATAAAATTAGTAAATGTAAAATTAGTAAATAGAAAATTAGTAAATACAAAATTAGTAAGTAAAAAATAATACATTTTATTGCGTTGAAAGAATTTATAGTAAATATTGGAAATCAATTTTTGAAAAAATTACCACTAATATATTAATTATTAATATACTAATTTTTTCCCCTCTTTTCCTTCGTTTCTTTTTCCTTTTATTCTTGGAAAGAATTCATTCCCAAAATTGTCAGCTCGATTTAATTATTTTTCTAACTTATATTTAGAAAACTCGGCCGAGGAAAATTGAATTCCCACAGGAGAATAAGAAGAAAGAAAACGAAATTAATATTTTTTCTTTCTCTAACGAAATTTTGTGTTTCGAGAATTGAAAATGAAATTTTCCCTCTTCTTTATTCTATTTCAGTATAAAATGCTCTTAATCTCCTCATTATCGCATTCTTAATTTCGTTTGCTCTTTCTTAAACGACAGGAATATTATTTCCCAATTCCCCTAATTGATTTTTCATGTTCTCATTTTCATTTAAGCGTTTCTCGTTAATTTAATTTTGTGAATTTTTCACATTTCATTTTTTTTTACTTCATCTCTTGGATCGCGCGCTAGGAAATTATTTGCCTCTTGATTCGATAGCTTTCTAAGTATAGTAATTTATTTTTACCCCTATTTCTAATTTTCCAATCTGTTTCACAGAAAAATTCTTTTGTCAATTTGATTTCTGGATATTTGCTCTAAATTATCGTCGCAATAAGTATTTTTTCCGTATTTTTAGAATTCGCTGTGATTGGGTGATTTTGGATAACAAAAAAAAAAAAAAAAAAAAAATTGTTGAGTGATTTTGTGAGGGAATTATTTTTTTTTTTTGATAATTCGCTCGTGAACTAGTTTTCGAGTGTTTGATTATTTTTTTTTTTTGGAGAACGTCTCTTTTCAGTGAGACTTAATTCCATGACAAGGGGCTGTCGTTCAATTTGCGTTTTCTTCAATTCAAGCCGCAAACGATCGTTTTCATTGTCGAGATTTCTCGACGGGAAATACAATTAATTTTCAAGAATTCACTAGCAGGAGAGAGAGAGAGAGAGAGAGAGAGAGAGAGAGAGAGGAGTTTTCTCAAGTTTGCTTCCTCGAATCCCTTTCTTGTCGCGAGTAACTTATATCCCACTGTCAGAAGAGACATTTTGGTTCGCATGGAAGAATTCGTCGTATTTTGTCTGATGATGACGGAAAGCTTCCTTTCGGAGACTTTTCGAGTTGATTCCTACAGATGGAACACTCCTCGACAATATCTTTGGTACCTACTTGAGAGATTCTCATTCTCATCTTTAAGGATTTTCATTTTCTCCTCGAGCTCATCTCGTTCTCTTGACAATTTGTCGAACGTCTGCGCGAACTTTCATCGCTTCTTCTTCTTCTTATTCTTATTCTTCATTCAGATTTTCGGTAAATTCAAAGATGGCTGTTAATTGATGTTCGATTGCTATTATTTTAGTCGATTCTGAATTTTCATTTCGTATTTTGCGTCTTCTTCTAATTTTTCTTCTTTTTTTTCATCTTCTTTTTTATTTTTTCATTTATGCATTTTCTGCCTTTTTTCTCCTTCTTTTTTTTCTTTTCCATCTTCTTCTGCTTCTCCCTTCTTTTTTATCTTCTTTTTCATCATCATCATCTTCTTCTTCTTCTTCTTCTTCTTTTTTTATCATTTTTTGTAGGCTTTTTCTTCTTTATTTCTTCCTTTTACTCTTTTTCGTCCTCTTCTCCTTTTTCTTCTTTTTTATTTTTTCATTTATACATTTTCCGCCTTTTTCTTCTTCTTTTTTTCTTTTCCATCTTCTTCTGCTTCTCCCTTCTTTTTTATCTTCTTTTTCATTTTCTTCTTCTTCTTTTTTTCATCTTTATAATTTTTTATCGTCTTTTTCTTATTTATTTCTTTCTTTTACTTCTTTTCGGTCTTTTTATCCTTTTTTTCCTTTTTTCAACTGAAAATATTGAAAACAACCGTAAATATTAAAAATAATCAAAAATATTGAAAAAAAGAGACAATATTCAAAAGAACAGAAAATATCGAAAATATTTTAATAATCGAAAGCAATTTAATTTCCGTTGGAAAGTTTATACACAAAAATTGAAAAACAGAAAGAAAAACATTGCACATGACAGAAATTAATAAAATGTCGAGGAAAAATAGTTTTCTCTTTCTTCTTTTTTTTTTATTGAAAATTCCTTAAGAAATAAAAGTTGACTCCTGTATATATATTTTATAAAAGTTGATTGTCTCTCTGAATCGTATTTTTTTTCACAGGAAAAACTTTTAAATTCCTGTTCTCCTTTTCCACATTTTCGATTAGATCTTCTATGGACCAAAGCGTTTCCGCACTCTTTGACCTGTTTATCGCTTCGAAAAAGTTTTCTTCTACTTCTTCGTCTACCTCTTCTTCTACTTCTTTTTCTTCTTCTTCGTCTTCCTCTTCTTCTTTCTTATATTGCTCTTCCTCTTTTTTATTCCCTCCATTCTCTATAAGTTGCATATACTCAATTTCAGTTCAACATTTTCTTTTCTTCAATTCTTCAAGTTCAACTTTAAGCTCTTATTTTGAATGGTACTTTTTTTTCCTCCCCTTTTAATAAGACTTTTGAGAAATTTTGCTTTATACACGTTTTTAAACAGGAAATTCTATGTGGAAATTTAATTTTCATTTTTGAAAATTTTTTTTCTTTTTTTTATAAGTTAGGGAGGGATAATATATAATTAAGTAGTATGAGTAAATTATTAGTCAGACGTATTTTATTATTAACGTTTTTAGTATTATTTTATATTTTCGTCTCAGTAGTACAAGCATATTGTCAGTCAGACGTATTTTCTTGTTATTAATGAACTATAATATGATAATTAATAATTATAATTAATTGACTGTCATTGAAATGAGGAAAGTTTTTGAAAATAATTAAAATTTTGACAAGAATTTGATAAAAAATTTTGAAGAATAATCTTATTATTTATAAAGATAATTGGGATTTTGAGAAATTTTTTTTTAAATTTTTGAACATAATTGAATCTCTGCGAAGAATTTGATTACTTTTGAAAATAATTAAATTTCTGCATTCATTGTAACTTTTTCAAAATTTAATTTTTTAGTATTCTTAACTCAAATTCTTCTATAAATCCATTATTTTTAATAATTAATTAAATATATATTGAAAAATTTAACGAATTTCAGAAGATTTTGATTTATTAAAATTTTTAAAAAATCTAATAGCGAATTCGGTTATCTGCTCCGAGAGCGATCTTGCTCGGTGTAGGAGTATAGTTTACTCTGCTCTCAAAAAGCTGTGCTCTACTCTGAGGCACTCTATGACGTCATGAACACTGTCAAAGTTCGACTGTTTTTGGAGCAGGAACACAACATGAACTGCTATGGTGTAAAGCATACACTGCTCGTTTGGCGCGAAGTTTAAATTTAATTAAACTTATATAATATAATGTAATATAATATTATATTTATTATATTATATATACTATTATAGATTATATTATGCAATATATTTTCTTCTTAAATGTAAAATTATTTTACTTAAAATTAAATATTTTATGATGTATACATAAATAATATTTTTAAAAGCAAAAAATTTGATATTTTTATTAGAATATTAAAATTTTATTCGGTCAATGTTTTGATATAGCAGAATTGTTAATCACAAAATTATCGAATAATATTTCTGATATAAATTTTGTTTACACTATTTGACATTTTGAACTACTAACAACAACAATAATAAAATAAGTGAAAAGGTTATTTCTTTGAGACCAAATAATTACTTTATAATGAGTATTTTTATTTAAATATTAAAAATATTGAAAATTATTTACTGTTTTTATTAAATATTAAAATATTGAATGTTAGTCTTTCTCTAAATACAAAATTCATTATAAAAAACATAATTCGGCTTCACTACTATCGCTAGAGGTGTCAATTAAATCTGTTAGAAGTGAAATTTTTAAATTTGCCGCTTCTCTTGACATTTTTTTAAACTGCACTAACAAAATTGTGGGAGCAAATTTTGTTGCACCTTTCGATCCTTGAGAGTGCACACTTCTTAATTCGAACACAAATAACGATCTGCGCCGGAGCAGTGCTGCCAAAACGAATACTCGAAACGATCTGCGCCGGAGCAGTGCTGCTAAAGCGAATACTCCAAACGATCTGCACTAGAGCACATTTGTCAAACCGAACATGCTACTCCTGCTCTGGAGCACTCCGAGAGTGCTCCGGTGCAGATAACCGAATTCGCTATAAGTTCATAAAGTTTTATTTAAATTTATTGAACATTGAAATTTTAAAAAATTTTAATTTTATTATTATTTGTTATTATTTATTATAATTTGTTATTATTATAATTTGTTATTATTATATTATGATTATTATTATATTTTTGTCTCAGTAGTAGAAATAAATCATTAGTCAGACGTAGTCTATTAATGTTGTTATTGCAATAAAATTTAAATAATAAAATTATTAAGAATATAAGTAAATCTTACTAGACTGGAAGTAAACATAAGGGTTCGTTCATACGTATAAAATGGTTTGCTCGAATTGCGCGAGCGGCTTTCGTGAAGGTATTGTGCATTGGCCTTTAAACAGTTATAACCTCAAAATATCTCCTTGGTACTGGTTTTGTCAAATGCGATCACAGACAGTTGTCGTTAAAAGTAATTGTTCTATTAAATTCATCAGTAAGTATATTATTTGTATCAACACAGTGGGCAAAAAAACATCATTGTTTTAAAAACGTTCCAAAAACGTTTTTAGAACGTTTCATGTCTGCCAAATAATGTTCCAAAAACGTTCCATTGCTTTTAAAACGTTTTTGAAACATATAACGTTTTTGGGACGTTATTTGGCAGTCATGAAACGTTCTAAAAACGTTTTTGGAACGTTTTTAAAACAATGATGGTTTTTTGCCCACTGGGAAGTAATTATTATTCTTTTATGCATTATTGTGCAACCTCTTGATTCATTTCGAAATATTTTACCATATGTTTAAAATTAATCGAAGTGATTCATTTTTGTTGTGTTTCAAATTTAGTATATAGTAGTAGCACGCATTATACCTATTTTTATCTTACATATTTATTGTTTTTTCATAACTCTAATATTTAAATTTTCTGAATTTTGATTTTTGTTTTATTGTTGCTTACTTTCCCCTCTTGAGGAAAATCCAGCTCGATCTCGGTGTCAGATTAGATTAGATTCGATTAATTAAATTATGCATTTGTGATACCTTTTTATGCGAATGTACATATAATGATAGTGTAATTAAAAAAAAACTTTTTTTTAACTCTTTTTCATCAATCTTTCAGGTGATTCAGGTAACAATGGCTGTACCTTCGAAAAAAGCTAAATTGTGGGGCGGAGACGATAATATACAGGATTATGCTTCAAAATTAAAGCTTTTGCGTAATAATTTTACTTGGACAATTGAAAATTTCGAGTATATTTGTCAAAATATGAAGGTCATTAGATCTCCGAGATTTGTATCGAAGCATTCGAAAGATGAATATTTTATTGAAATACAACCTACAGAATTAAGAGAAGGCAACGAAGATCTATTAAATATTCGTTTCATTTGCACAGATGACATTACAAAATTTATATATTTTAAATTAAGAGTAGTCAGATATATTAATTATCAGTATGATTATATTCGTACATTTTACAAAGAACAGAAAGAACAAAATAATTGGGAAATAAGTGGATCAGATTTATGCAAGGCTTTTGGTAACACTATACCTCAAAATGTTTTAATCAAATGTGAGTTTAGTGTCATTGATACTACAAACACAATAAAAAAATCAATAACTGACTTTCAAAAATGTGATGGACTGATGGAAAATATTAAAAGTTTACTAAAAAATGAAGATTTCAAAGATATTAAGATAAAAATAGAGGATAAAGAATTCACCGCTCATAAAAATATTCTTGCAATTCGAAGTCCTGTATTTGCGGCAATGTTCAAGAACAAAATGAATGAGGAACTAACATCCATTGTTCAAATAGATGACATAAAACCAACATTATTTCAACAAATGCTGAAGTTTATTTATACGGATCAAGTGGAAAATTTAAAAGAAACAGCATTCGAATTATTGTACGCTGCAGAAAAATATCAACTAGATAATCTGAAGTGTATGTGCATCAAGAGTCTAAATGACAATCTATCTATAAACTCAGTCTTTAAGACTTTGGAGGTTGCCGAATTGTATTCAATCGAATCGTTAAAAAATGAATGCCTCAAATTTATGTACGAGGAAAAATTTGATATTTATAAGACAAACGATTTTCAAGAATTGATAAAAATTCGTCCAAATTTATGGATCGATATTTTGAAAATGGAGAAATTGCCAAATACAGAAAATGGAAACGTTGATTGTTTTAATAATTGGGTTTACGAATTGAAATCAGAGACCGAAGCTGAACCAAAAGAAAATTAAAAATTCAAAGTTAGTGTAATTTTGTATCGACAAGATTTTGAGTCAGCAAAAAACTGAACTTTCGAGACAAACCTAAATTTGTTTTGCTTTAGGTCTCTTTTTTCTAACAAATGAAATGATGGGAATAAATTTCTTTTTATTTTTACAAATTATGAATGTAGAGAATATTGTTATTTCTTATGTAATAATTAATAAAATTTATTTCTGAAGATTGAAGATATGATATTTTTATTTCATTTTTAAAAACTATGGTCTAGAATGTTTAAATTTATTATATAATAATTATTTGTTATCCTGAGTCTAATAATTCCAATTAAACATAATTCTTATATATAGGATTCTTAAATTATGTGTCATTTCACTTTGTCTGGAATGTGATTGAGGACTGCTTGTGTAAAACTGAGGTAATAAATTTTTACTAGTACTGCATTTCTTTAATGACAAACATGTTTCCGCGCATTTATCTTTTGATGAAATCGGTGATCCGAAGTAGATTGAAGGATGGGTAGAAGGAGAAATTAACCCTACTGCGTTGGTCTCTATAATAAAGAAGAAACAATCGAGAAATTTATGTACAATTAAATTTTTCATATTATAATGAATTAAAAAATTGATTTTTTATAATAATGAAAAATTATAATTTAATTACAATAAGCATGTTGTTGAGTTTATAAGTTGTTGTTGTTTATAAGTTGTTGTTGTTCATAAGTAGTTCATGTTGAGTTTATGTTCAATTTTAATTATTATTAAAATATTATTATGCAAAAATACATACACATTCATTAAGTAATTTCAAATAAACAAAACTTTCAGTAATTTGTGGATTAAAAATTATTTATCAATATAAATTAACGAGACGATTTACACGAGTTTTAATTTATCTTTATAAAAAAAATTTTAATCCAAAAATTTCTGAAAATCTTTTGTTCATTTAAAATATTATTGTCATTCATATTTTATTTACTTTATATAATTGTAATATGTACTCAATAAAACCAAAAATGACACACATGTACAATATAAAGATATTAACCAATTTTTATCGTTCAAATTGTATTTTTAGAGTACACTCTCCTAAATTATATAGAGTAAACGTTTAAAAATTCTAACCAGTTTTTGTTATATTTCGATTTTTACTACAAGCAAGTTCAAATTGTGACACCATATTTTCTCCATTCAGCATTGAGGCTGGCGTTTTCGAAATATTTAACTGCTCACTGGTGGAGTCACTTTGATTTCCCTCAGTTTGAGTGCCAATTTAGTAGTAGCAATATTGCCAATATCTGTCTCGCTGCTTACCTTGCTACGTGTAATATCAATTGTTTAAATTTATATTAATGTGATTTTAAAAATATAAATTATGTACATATTATTATTTATTATTACGTAAAAAAATACTTACTTCGCCCTGCAGTGCACTTCTTTCCCTTGTGCAAAGTTGGAATTGCATCTGGCTTCAATAAGGGCCTGGATTGAAAGGTTTTAAAACATTTTTTGTGGAAATGTTCCGCACAGATTCGAAACTTTGTTCTTTAATCCCAGCAAATTTGAGCCATTTTCTTCGACTGCGAAATGTTATAATTTAAGGATAAAAAATTGTATTTTCATAACAAAAATAATATAATAATAAATATTTGTAATTTTTTTTAATATCAAAATTTAGAATTCTGTGTATACTTAATAATATGACATTACTTCAAAAGTTTATATTTCATCGTGTAAAAAAAGTGAGGTTATGTTTACTAAAAATCAAATGTATACTTACGTTGAATTAGATTTTGGTAATCTAAACGATGAAAATCCTTGGCACATTTTCGTATATGTCCCATTTTTGCAATTTTCTACACTACAATATAACATTTTTGCATAAAATTTGTAAATCACGCTTCTCCAACTGTTTGCAAGCAAGCACATACAGTTGAGCACAAATACATCCAGAACATTCAAAACATTATACGTATATATATTTTAAAAAGAAAACGACCCACCAGGGTGCGCTACTAGTAGCGTGTACCGTCACCTTTCACTCTCACAATAACGTGAACGTATGACGTCACCCATTTGAATAACATTGTGTCGTCATTAATTTAAAAATTTAAAAACATTTAAAAGGAAAATTTATTAAAAAAGTTAAGAAGCAAAATTGTTTATGAATTTTAATTTTATTTATCATATTTAAAAATTTTGGAACCCGGCATCGTGATCAAAGGACAAATTGGAACTCACTCTGTTATAAAAAGAGCAATTATTATTATTTGTATTATTAATTATTATTTATAAAATTAAGTAGTCGAAGTAAATTATTAATCAGACGTACTTATTTATTTATTTACTATTTCTAGCACCATTATTATTCATATTATCTATACTATCAATTAAATTATGAATTTAGCTTTTCAATTTAATTTTTAATTAATTAATTAATTTTTAATTTTTTTTAGTTTATTTCTGTTTTCTTAAACTTTGTGGGTTTTGATATTTTGGATTATTTTCAAATTTGCAACATTGGGAACTTTTTCTTTTATTTTTCCTGCGAATAAAATAATTTAATTTCCTAAATCTTTAATATTTTCCTTTTTTGTTTTACATTTTTCTTTTTGATAATATATTCATCAGTGATTTTGAATAATTTCAACAAATTTTTTTTTAATATAAAAAGGATCAGCATATCCTGGAGGTATTAATTAGAATCACAACCAATTCGCAGTGAGGTTGACCTCAATTTCTTTTTTTTTATTTCAATCTCGATTTTCACTTCATTAATTAACTCCTGGAAATATTATCCTCGGTGCTTTGTTCTTTAATTTCGAAAGATTGAACAAAAATTTCGCAAAATTAATTTCAAACAGAAAGTGTTTTATGCAAATTGAGTGAAGCATTTGAAAATTGTCTAATTACTTTTTAACCTTAGTTATTATATTTTTTCTAATTATTAATTTTTACGTTTTCTAATTATCAATTATCAATTTTTATTTTTCCTAATTATCAATTATCAATTATCAATTTCTATTTTCTTTATTTATCAATTTCTCTTTTTATTCTTTCTAATTATATCTATAATTATATTTTTTCAAATTTGTATTTTCGTATTTTCTCTACTAAAAAAATAATTTGCAATTTTTCAAAAAAAGTTGAATTTCCTTTTCTATAAATCCTATGTGTTAATTTTGAATCTTTAGATTAAATAATTTTTTTTCTAAATTATTTACAAAGATGAAAAGAATAAAAAGTAGTAAAAATAAAAAAATAACAAAAATTTGTAATTCGCTTCAAATATTTTGAAAAATAGTATGATTTTTAACTATCATAGTATAAAGTGATGTCGTTATTTAATTTACTCCGGAGTTTTATTCATCGAGGGTTTACAAAAAAAAATTTGTTTTTCATTGTATAGAAAAATTTTCACCCTTGTTCGTAATGTTCGCATCGAACGTGCCTTTTAGTTCACTGGCTTCTTTCGTTCACTGGATTCCCAGATCGTTGAGTTTTTTTTTACTCGACAAATTTGCCACTTCTGACTTTAATGCTTGCAAACGATATCTATCTGGTAAATTTCCTATTCTGTTTCACTTTTGTTATTCAATAACCACAAAAAACTAATTTTGTAAGCGAATAGCTATATCTGGCATGAAATTCGTTACAAGTGAAACAATTAAATTCTAATTTCATTCTAGATTTTTGTTTTGACAGTTTAGAAAAAAGGGTTATTTTATTTTTCAAAAAAAAGGAGAGAGAGAATTTTTTATTTTGACATTTATATTTTATTTTACTGTAAAAGTGAAGAAGAGGAAAAAAGAAGTGAAAAAAATTAAAAAAAGAGTAAAAAAACGTAAAAAGGAATAAAAAAAAGGAGTAGAAAAAAAGTTAAAAAATAAAAAAGAAGTTAAAAGGATTAGAAAAGAACAAAAAAAGTAAAAAGGAGTAGAAAAAAAGTAAAAAAATATAAAAGAAGTAAAAAGGAAAAAAAGAAAATTTTTTTAAATAAATATAGTGTAGAACAATAATATGTAGTGAATGAAAGCAAATTTACCTGTTTATCTGTTTTTATTCTTTTTGTTTAATTATTTTTTATGAATTTATCAAAAGAGAATTAGGAAAATTTTTTTTTATAAAATCATGAGCGATTCATCGGAGATTTTTTGTCATTGCGGTTGCGATACTCCCGGGACGTTTAAACAAGAGGAATCGCCAAGCGAACCTTGCTGCTGTTGTGATTATAATCCGTTTAGTGATAATTCCAAGGACGCGGAAATTTACGATCTTCCGTTTGCCCTAAGAAAATTAACGGTAATGAAGTGTCAAATGAAAAAATGGCGAATGGAACGACTCCAATTGGAAAGTGAAACACGATGTCTAAAGCAGTCGCTACAACAATATGGTATTCAAAATTTCCATTTCTTCACTCACAATTTTGTTTCAATTTTGATCCAATTTATTAATTCTGTTTCAATTTTATTTTAATTTTTTCCCTTTTTATCAATTTTGTTTCAATTTTGTTCTAATTTTGTTCTAATTTTCAATTTTGTTTTAATTCTCATTCAATTTGTGAATTTTTTTTCAAAATTTTTTTTTGAAATTGAAAATATTTCAATTTTTCATCTTCTAAAATTATTTCACTTTTCTTAATTGTTGAAAAAAGTAAAAAAAAAAAATCAATGAAGAAAAATGCGAAAATTTTCCAACTAATTTTCTTACTCAATCTGTTTTCTCATCATTTTGGAGGTATTAATATTAATGAGGCGTTAAAACCTGATCCTCTGATTATTCACTACCGAGAGGAGAATTTGAGACTCGAAAATCTTAATGACGAATTGCGGGATCAAGTAAAGAACCTCACAGAAACTTTGGCTGAACGAGATTATTCCGATGATCCATGTGATTCTGTAAAGTTCATCAGAGAGAAAATAAAGGAAGTTCGCGAAAAATTTGCCGAAGAAAAAAAAGAGTTATTATTTCCAAAAAGAAAAAATTTTTTCCACATTTTTAATCATTTTATCAAAACATCTAATTTCTTTGAAATTAATTTAAAAAGAAAGATAAAATTTGAAATTAATTTAAAAAAAAGATAAAATTAGAAATTTAAAAAAAAGATGAAATTTGAAATTTAAAAAAAAGATAAAATTCGAAAAAATAAAAAAAAGTAAAGTTTGAAAAAATAAAAAAAAAGTAAAGTTTAAAAATTTGCTTTTATTTATAGATTAAGGGAAAAAATAGCGGCGTTAAATTTGAGAATAGAAGAAATGGATGACGACACATCGTGTGCAGCTTTAAATCGTTTGAGAGGAAAACTTCGGGAATTGATGAAAGGAGGCCAGAAAACTGACCATGAAGTTTCATCGGTGATGGAAAAATCTATAGAAACTATGATGGAACTTTCAAAAAGTTGCTCGGATTTAAAATCGGAAAATGAAAACCTTCTGGCTCAATTGGAAGCCCTTCAAAGAAAATTAGGTCCGGACGGAGAAAATTTTGCCGAGTGTCATGAGAAACTTGAAAAATTCGAAGCCCTTGTTGCTGATTTGAAAAAAGAACTTATTGATAAGAATCAAGTTGTCGGTGACCTGGAAAACGTGAATTACAATCAAAGAAGAATATCCGAACAACTTGAAATTGATTTGGATAAAATTACCGTCAGTCGCAATGCATTGATGAATGAATTCGATGCCCTCAAAAGTGAATTAATCCAAAAGGATTCAAAGGTTCCTTCTTAAAAAAAATTTCTTTAAAAAAAAAAATAAAATAAAAAATAAAATAAAAAAAAAATAAAAAAAATAAATAAAAATTAGGTTTTAATTAAAAATACTCTAAATTATTCGAAATAATTTTTTTATTCCTTTTTTTAAAATTTAATTTACGTTTTTAGATTAACGAACTCATGAGAGATTTGAGAGCATCGACTGTCGATCGTCTGGGCCTGGAACAATTGTCCAAAGAAATTGAAACAATGAAACCGCAATTGTACGATCTCGAAGTTGAGAATAATAATTTACTGGACGAATTGACGAAAATTCGTGGCATTGTTTCGGAGAGAAATGAAAAAATAATGGAAATTTTCGAGGAGAAGCAAAAAATAGGCGACGAGTGCAGTGTCAAGTTACTTGCGATGCAAACAAAAATGGACGCCTTATTGAATCAGGAAAATTTATATAAAACAGAAATAAAAAATTTGACAAATTCCTTGAACACTTTAGAAAATAGTTTAGAACAGTCAAAGGATAAAATTTCCGAATTAGAGGAAAATAGAAATAATAATGAGGAATTGATGAAGAAAATAGAAGAACTACAGAATTATTGTTCAAAATTAGAAAAAAGTTTCGAAGAAATGATGAATGAAATAAGTTCCATTCAAAATGCGCTCAACACCATGAAATCTGAGAAAGAAAAATTATTAGAAGATTTAAAGTTAGCGGAAATTAAAATTACGCAAATGGAGAAAGAGCTAAAAAATGCTTTTGAAGAAAAAGAAGCAATTTCTGTCGAACTTGAGAAAATTAGTGAAAATTGTCAAAAGGCTGAAATTGAGAATGAAACACTAAGAAATAATTGGCAAAACCAAGAAGAAAGGATAAAAAAATTAAGTGAAGTAAACGAAGAAATAAATGTGGAAAATAAAAATATTATTGCCGAGAAGAAAAAAATTGAGAACGACAAGAATGAGGTACTTAAGGAAAATGGAAAATTGAAGGAGGAAGTCGATCAACTTAGGAAAACGTTGCAAAAACAAAAGGACGAATTAGAAAAATTGGGGGAAAATTTACAAAAATTGATTTCAAGGAATGAGGAGGAAAAAAAGTTGACATCTTCTCTCGAAACCGAATTGCAAAAATTAAGGAAAGAAAACGAAGAATTACAAGTGAAAAATAGTGAGATTGAAAAATTGAACGAGGAGAAAGAAAAATTACGCATCGAAAATGATAATTTGGGGAAAATGTTGAATAATTTACGAAACGAAAAGAATTCGTTGGAAAAAATGCTCGAGGACTTGGAAAACATAAAGAAGGAAAAAGAGAATTTAGAGGTAAAATTCAACGAAATTGGGAAAGAAAATGAAAAATTGAAGAAAGATGTGAATTCGGCAGAGGACGAAAATTTGAGATTAAAAACAAAAGTCGAGGAAGAGACGCAGAGAGAGAATGAAGAGGGGAAAAAATTGAAAATTGAAAACGAACAAATGGGAAGAGATTTAGTGGAAATGAGAAAAGAATTAAAGAATTACGAAGAAGACCTGAAGAAATTCGAAGAAGAAAACAAAAAACTAAAGATGGAATTCGAGAATTCGGAAAAGAAAAAAGAAGCACTCGAGGACGAATTAGTGACACTGAAGAATAAATTAAAAGATTTCCTCGTCAATTTCGATCGAATTAAGGAAAAAAATGATAAACTCGAGGCAGAAAATAACCGACTTCAAAAATATTCCCTAGAACTTAGGGACGATTCGTCGAGACTAGAAAATGAAAAAACGGAATTGAAACTCGAACTCTCGAAATTAAAGACTGAACTCGGAAAAATAGTGGCAAACACCGGAGAATTGAGGGAAGAAAACGAAAAGTTGAAAAAATTGAACGAAAAAGGGGAAAAAGAGAACGAGAGGTTAAAAAATGAAATTGACAATCGACAAGCCACGGAAGAAACTTTGAAGAAAGAAACAAAAAATTTTGAAGAAGAGAAAAAGAAGCTAAAAGAAATTTCTTCACTTTTGGAAGACGAGAATAAACGCCTTAGGGAAAAAGTTGAAAATTCGACGAAAAACGAGGAGGAACGACAAAAACAAGAAGCAGAGGTTGAAAAATTAAAAAATAATTTCGAAAAACTAAAAAAAGAGAACGAGAAAAAAATTCTTGAAATAGAAATGGAAAAAATGGGACTTGTTGAAGAAGTAGAAAAATTAAGAGAAGAAGTTGAGAAATTAAGGAAGGAAATGTTGATCGATAGAAATAGCAAAGAGGCATCATTGAAAGAAGCAACTAATCTTCAATTGGAATTATCAGCAATGAGAACTGAATTGGAAAAGACGAGAGCAGACAATGAACGTTTAAAAACCGATCATGAAGAATTGAACCGAAATCTAAAGACTCGACGAGCGGAGAATGATGCTTCAAAACTGGAACAAGAGAAATTAGAAAAGAATTTAATTTCCCACGCGGAGGAAAATGCGAAACTAAAACAATTATTAGAAAAAACGAAAAATGATTTAGAAAAAAGTATTTTCGATTTTCAAGAATATCGAGAAGGAAAGGAGAAATATTTACAAAATCAAACGAATCTGAATCAAAATTTAGAGAAACAACACCAAGAACAAGAGAAACTGCAAAAAGAAATGGAAGAAACGGTAAAAAAACAAGAAAACGAAAATGAAAAATTAAAAAAAGAGTTGAAGGCAATGAAAGAAAATTTGGAAAAATTGGGCAAAAAACTATCGAGTGAATCAAGAGAAAAAATAGCACTGCAAAAAGAACTCGAGGCGTTGAAAAATAATTTAGCGAATCTACGAGATGATTTACAAAAAAGTGAGCAGGTGAAAAAAGAATTCGGTGAACTGCAAAAGGAGAGGGAAAATTTGAAGAAAATGCTGGAGAAAGAGAGGGAAACACAAGGGGAAAATTTGCAAAAAAATGAGAAAATGAAAGAAGATTTGGAAAAATTAAAAAAAGAATTCAATGCTGTGAAAAAGGAGAGAGACGATGGTTTGAAAATAAAAGCTGAAGCGACAAAATTAATGAGAGAAAATCAAATAAATTTGGAGGATGAAAAAAAGAATTGTGAAAAATTAAAAATTGAATACAATAAAATGAGTGCTGATGGAAAAAAATTACGGCAAGAGCAAGATAATTTGAGGGCTGAATTGCAAAAATTAAAAAATGATAATGAATACTTGAGAAATGATTGCGAAAAATTGCAAATTGAGAATGAAAAAATGAAGAGTGAAAAGAGATCATCTGGTATTTGGCTAAAAACTTTGTTTAACAAACGAAAAAGAAATTAGAAAATGAAAAATTTTATAATAAATCATATTTTAACGAATACTTCACTGTTTTTCTAAATAATAATTAATAAGTGAAATTAAAAACGAGAAATTTAATTTAATAAATAATAAATATTAATTTGGGCAAAAAACCAAAAAACAAAAATTGTAAGTATTTCGGAATTTTTCTTCATTACAGATAACGAATCTGGTGATTTTTTCAAATCGACTCAACAACTAAATTGTAGAATTCAGACGCAAAATGAAGGTACTTTCTTGCTAATTTTTATTATTTTGTACGAATTGTAAAATTATTCGAAATTATTCGAAAACATAAAAATTCTCTTTAATATTAAATTATTGTCTAAAATTTTAACCGAAATTCATTTTTAAATTAATTTTTTATTAGAAAATTCTACGAGAATTCAATTATTTATGTATAAAAATAAATAATTTATTAAATAAATTGAATGTTTCTTAAAATTTAATGTTTACGAATAATCTTATTATCAACTATTGAAAATAATTAATTTCTTTAAAGGAATTTAATTAAAATTAAATTTTAGTAAATTTTACTGAAATTTATTACATCAAAGAATTTTATAACAATTTTTGAAAATAATTGAAAACTTTTTGAAGAATTTTATTAAAATTTAAAAAAAAATTAAATTCCTAAGAAGAATTTAAATAATAATTTATGAAAATAATTGAACTCATGCGAAGAATTATTTATGTAAATAATTGAATTCCTGTGAAAAATTCTAATATTTTTATAAATAATTAAATTCTATTAAAGAATTTTAAAAAAACATTTTTTTAAACAATTAATTTTTTCAAGGAATTAAAATTAAATTTTTAAGAATAATTAAACAATAATTTACATTTACATTTCTTGTAAAAATTTATTAAAAATAATTACAATCCTGCGATGAATTTTATTATTTATAAAAATAATTGAATAGTCGTCAAGAATTTTATTAAAATTTTTAAATAAAAATTGAATTCCTGAAAAGAATTTTATTATTTACGAAAGTAATGGAATTATTAAAAAATAAATAAAATAATAATAATTATTATTATTATTATTTTTAATAATTATTAAAAAATTTTATTAAAATGTTAAAAAAAATTAAATTCTTGTAATGAATATTGTTATTTAAGAAGATAATTTAATTTTGCAAAGAATTTATTAAAATGCCTCAAAATAATTGAATTTTCGGGAATAATTTTGTTATTTATCTTTAATAATTGAATTCTTTCGAAGAATTATTTAAGTAAATAATTGAATTCTTGGTGAGAATTTGATTAAACTCTAAAATAATAATTTAATTATTTTAAAGAAATTTAATTAAAATTGTATTTAAAATAATTGATTTCTTTCGAAATATTTTATTTAAATATTTGAATTCCTCTGAAAAATTCTTATATTTTTGTAAATAATTGAATTCTTCTAAAGAATGAATTTTATTATTTATGAAAATAATTGAATAGTTGCTAAGAATTTCATAAAAATTTTTAAAAATAATTGAATTCCTGAAAAGAATTTTATTATTTATGAAAATAATTGAATTATTGCGAAAAATTTTATCAAAAATGTTTTAAAATAATTCAATTAATAAAATATTGTTCAAAATTAATTATATTATTAATTTAATATTATTATGTTTGTAAAAAAATGAGTTTTGTAATTTTTTTTTTTGATAAAAATATTCTTTATAGTTTATAAAGATTTTTTTTGAAAAGCGAAAGCAAATTTTTGAAATAATTTTCTTAACACAATTTACAGCAATCGATCGTATTAGAGAATTTATGGAATGCATGGAAGATAGAAATAAAGTAAAGCCAAAAATGGAGAAAGATTTTAAATTAATTGATGAATCTGGTGATTGGATAAATCCAACAGTTAATGAGGTGATGAAGAAATCATATAAATTATCAGAAAATATTTTTAAACTTGAAAAAGAAATACAAAGTCTCGATGTTTTTTTCCAAGAAAAGGTTTCGATAATTATTTTTATAATAATTATAATTTATAATTAATATTTTGTAATAATAAAAATTATTTAAAAAATAATGTTAATAATAATATTATATTAATAGTAGTAATGAAAATAATAATTAAAAATGTATTTAAATTTTGATATATTATTAAATAAAATAATATGTGAAATATAATTATTTTGATAATTTTTATAGAAAATTGGAGATTCAGAAAAGGGTGATTTTAATAGCGATTCATGGCTAAAAGTAAGTGCTTGTAAACTTAAAATTAAAAATTATTTTAAAATTGACTTTGTTTTAATCAGTTTATTCAGAAATATCTTCACTTTGATAAATTGTTGAGAGTTGTAATTATTTTTTAATATATTAAAAATTTATAAATTCTAAATTTGAAGAAAAGTTGCGCGTTTTTAATAAATCAATTAGTAAATTGAAATTAACTTTTAATTCAATTAAAATACAGAATATTTTACATTTCAATTTCATATTAATTTTTAAATAATTTCATTACGTAAGTTTTTAATTCAATCAAAAGTATATTTCCATTACTGTACATCACTGTCAATTTAGCCAATTAATACGATTAACTTTCAACTGTATTTTATTTTTGAAAATATATATTTTTGTCTTATTTTATGAATAGTTAAAAATCCAATTTGCATATATATTAAAAATAAATGTATTTTTTTTTGTATTTTTTCTAATATTTTATTGTAATAGTTCTATTTGATAACTAGAATCAAAGGTAAAAAATAAAAATATATTTTTAATAGAAACATTATCGATTATTAATTAATTAATTATTTTAATTATTAATTTAATTATTGTTTGATTAAAAAAGAAAAAATTGATGTAATTTTTAGTCATTGACATTGGAGCAATTAGCTGAGCTTCATGATAAAATTTGTCATCAAACAACATTAATTATTGAAAGTGACAGTGATTCATTGCCATTGAAGGGTGAAATTATCGATAATCAATTGTCACAAACATCACAAATGGTAAATAATCCCTTGGAACATGATTATCGTAAGGTAAATAGACGAATTGCTACACTTCAAAGGCATATTGCCGAAAAGCAATTGGAAGCTGCGAAAAAAATGCACGAAATGAAGAGATTTTTACGTCAGGAGCAACTTCGTTTAATTCAAATTGCCGAAAATATGGTGCGTGAGAAAAAGAGGAATTTTGATTTTCAAATGACTATCGATCAGGATCCATGTTGGATTAATGATTGTGACGCTGATTGTGGATATTTTGGCAAGAAATTTACGCGCAAATCGTAAAAAGAGGAAATTTAATTTTAAGTAAATTTTTTTATTAATAAACTTTATTTTAATTGTGTTCTTATTCATTGAAATTAATTTTAATACTAGGAACAATTTTAAATAATTGAATTAACTAAAATAATAGCAACAATTCGCGCGACTAACTTCTAACTTAACTTAACTTAACTTCTTACTTCTTAACTTAACTTTTTTAAATAAAATTAGCAATTTTAAAAATAATAGAATTTAAAAATTTTTATTTTAAATTTTTTTTTAAAAACACTAAAGAAATTCAATTTTGAAGAAATTATAATTAATTGCAGAAATTCAATTATTTTCAAAAGTAATAAAATTCTTCTCATACATTCAATTATGTATATTCAAAATTTAAGAAAGATTCTGGACAAAATCACAATTATTTTTATAAATAACAAAAATCTTCACCAAAGTTCAATTATTTTCAAAAATGTCAAATAAAATTCTTGTCCTAATTTCAATTATTTTCCAAAATTTGTCTCATTTCAATGATTTTCAATATCTACTATTTTAATAAAATTTTCCAAAAATTTAATTATTTAAAAAATTTTTTAATAAAATTTTCCAAAAATTTAATTATTTAAAATTTTTTTTTAATAAAATTCTACTCAAACATTTAATTATTTTCATAAATAGTAAATTTTTTTTAAGGAATTCAATTATTTTCATAAAAAATAATTAAAAATTCTAGAAAATAATAATTGAATTGAAATGAAGAAAATAATTTTAAAGAATTTACAGTATAAAACATGAAGAAATCGATCACTCCGAGTCTTCGATGTCTTCATGTTTTATAATTTTCTAAAAATTTAAAAAGTTTCAATTTCATTCTCAATTAAAATTATTGACAAATAGGATTTATAAACATTTTTTTCCTTTATTTTTAGAAAACTTTGAATTTTATTAAAGTAATTGTTTAATTAAAGTAATTTTTTAATTTTTTAATTTTAACTATTATTTTATTACATAAGTCATGAATATTTTCGATTTTTCAAACAATATTTTTTAAAGAAAAAAAAACAAAACAAAACAAAAGCATACACAAAAACTAACTTCAAAATGCGGACAGAATGAGTGAAAAAATATGAAAATTAGTATAGTTAATTATTTTTTATTTCAAAAAAATTGTAATATTTAAAAAAAAATTCTAATTATATTTTTGATTTAAATAACAAATTAAATTACTGTTTTTACTTCTATGAAAATTGATTCTTTAATGCTTTTTCTTTATTTAATAGAATTTATTTGTATAAATTGATTTTCAGTAGAAACAGTCAGTATTAGTCAGACAAATCTGTTCCTAGTAGTAGCAGTAATTTTTAGTCAGACAAACATATTTTGAATTATTTTGTCTCCAATTTTTGCATCACTGTAAAAAAAAGTCTCCGCTTTGTGTAAAACTTAACAAAATTAATTTTTATAGAATAATTTTCAGTAGAAACAGTCAGTATCAGTAAGACAAAACTATTTCAAGTAGTAGAAGTAATTTTTAGTCAGACAAGCAAATTTTAAGTTGAATTTAATAAGATTTATTTTTATAAAAATAATTGTCAGTAGAAATAGTCAGTATATGTCAGACAAAACTGTTTCAAGTAGTAAAAGTAATTTTTAGTCAGGCATATGTAAAAAAAATTTAATTGTAAGTATAAGTGCTAAAAGATGTTTTTAGTCAGACATAAATATTGAAAGATGAGTTTCTTCTAGTGAGAAAATAATTAAAGAGCGTAAAATTTGGTAAATTTATATTAAAAAAATCTGCTGTCTATTTTTTTAAAATCAGTCGTAACATAAAATTTTAGTTAGACAAGAACCATTTAAGTTGTAAATGATAACATATTTGACCAGTAGAAGAAGTCTGCTTTAGTCAGACATAAATGTTGGCATTAATAAAAGTTGATTTTAGTACTTTTGTAGAATTAGTAGAAAAAGGTTTTTATAGTCAGACCATTTTTTCTGCACTTGTTACTTAAATAAGTAGAAAAGGACAGTATTATTATTATTATTATTATAGTATTATGGGAAATTTATATTTGATTTAATTTATTTGAAATAAAAAAGTAGACGTTTTGTCTGACTAAGACAGTCCTTCCCTACGAAATATACAAAAATTTATAAAAATGACCATTCTTTTTAAATCACTTATGCTAAATTTTAATAACACTTTTTGCTAATTTCTTAATTTTGCATTTTAACTGGAATATTAAATTAAAATCAATAAATATAAAGAGAATAAACATAACTCCAGTCTACAATTTATAAAAATTACTTTTAATTCTCTTTCTAATTACTTTTCACAACGATTTAAAGAAAAATACAAACAAAATTGTCCCTCTAAAAACACTCATTATATATCAATAAAAGCATTGATCACTGGGAATTGTATTTCTCATTCTCTCTCTCTCTCTCCCTCTTTATTTCTCTAAAGATATTATTTACTCCGGTAATTGTTCAATTGATAAAACACAAGAGACGCGCGCTACTCGGAGAGAGTTTATATAGAAAATGAAAAAAAAATGAAATAAATAAAGTGGAGCAACTTAATTGTGCACGAGCTTCTTGAAAATAATGGTACCTCGAGGATCGATTAAGATGTCTGCCTGCGATGTCAAGCAGAAATGCTTTAAATACAAGACTTGATTAATTGCTGTTTTACGTGCCAAGTCACTTTCGACAAAACCCAAAAGATACATTTGAGAATATCTAATTAATTAAATTATGTGATGCTTCGTTAATACCAGTACAAAGATTTCAATTCTTGTTACTAATCTAAAAGCCATTAATTGAGAAGGCACGTGAAAAGCGGAAACTCGTATAAAGGTTAATTAATGGAGTTTTATTATTAGCAGCAGAGGAAGAGTGAATTTTAGGATCAATTAAAATAAGCTGGAAATGTAAAATTGTCAAATTGAGAATTAGCGATAAAAAAACAACTGAAAATAAAAATTATTATAAAGAATAAAATAAAAAAAAAAAATTTATTAAGAAGTTAAAAAGATAAAAATTATTTTAGGTTACAATTTAAAAAAAAACAATTTGTTTACTGCTTTTATAGTCTTGTGTCTGATACTTTTTTTACTGTTTGCTGTAGCTTCGTCTGACTAAGACTATTTTTTCTACTGAGAAAAAAAATTCGCTTCAAAATTCTCTTTCACTGGAATATAGACTATTGTTTTAATTTTTCCTTACAAAAAGTTATATTTACATTCACTACTTATACAAGAACTTTGTCTGACCAAAAATCCATTTTTCTACTGATTCTATAAAAATTCAGTTAATGTCTGACTATAAATTACCTTTACCACTTGTAGCATATTTCTCTACCTTCTATTAGATTTTTGTCTGACTGAAATGTACTCTTACTACTTGTATTATTTTGTCTCGATAAAAGTTACATTTACTGCTTGTCCTAATTTGTTTTACTTTTATTTTCTCTTTGTTTGACTAAAATTTACTTGTAACAATATTTAATTAATTAATTTTTTATTTTTTATCATTAGTATATGTTTTACTCATGACGAAATGAACAATTGAAATAAAATTAGAAATTTCTATCCCGAATTACAGTTTATAAAAAAATAACAATTAATTGTTTAAACAATTTAATAAATTGTTATATTTTTTTCGTAAATCAGAAACACTGAAACATTATTTTAATAGGTTTTTTAATTAATTTTCTTAATTAATGAAACTAAAAAATTATATTTTTTCACAGTAGGTAAATCGTGAGGTATTAAAAAGTGTTGCAGATTAAATTAACACCAAAAAAGATTAAAATAATCAATGTTGGTGTTATTTTTTACAATCAATGAAATTTTAGTTTATTAAATTTTTTATAACTATAAAACATGAAGATATCGATAACCCCGAGTCTTCGACTCGGAGTCATCGATTTCTTTTTGTTTTATAATAATTAAAGATGACCAAGTAATAAAATCATTATTTTATATTATAAGAATATTATACTTCTTCAAAATTATTTTCATTATTTCAATTCAATTATTATTTTCAAAAATTTTTAACTACACTTTTACTTTATATCTATTATTTTTAATAATTTTCGAAAAAGTTCTTTGGCAATTTTCAAATCCATTTATTTACAATATTCAATTTCACGAAATTTCAATGATTTCTAAATACTGTAATTAAATCCATATTAGAAAATAAAAACTTTAAATAATATAAAAGAAAATTCAATTAAACTTTTTCAAAAAAATTAATTTCAAAATTCAATTATTTCTAAAAATTCACGCTATATTGCTTTTAATATTCAATTAAAATCTAAAATTTTAACTGAAATTCATTTTTATGAAATGAAAATCAATTTTTATTAGAAAATTCTACAAGAATTTAATTATTTAAATGCAAAAGTAAATAATTTATTAAATAATTGAATATTTATCAAAATTCAATTCTCATAAAGAATTTTAGTAACAAATTTTTAAATAATTGAATTTTTTTGTCGAATTTTACTAAAACTTTCATGAACATAATTACTTTTTTTTAAGGAATTCAATCATAATTGTATGAAAAATAATTGAAACGCTGCGATGAGTTTTATGAGAATTTTCAAATTCATTCGTTTACAATTCAATTTTATACATTTCAATTATTCGGAAATTCTGCAATTAAATATTTATTCGAAAATAAAAACTTGAAATAATTTCAATAAAAATCCTATTAAACTTTTAAAAAGAATTAATTCTACAGAATTTTTTGTCAAAAATATGAAAAATTAAGAATTTCAATGATTTTAGTTTAAAACTTTTTTAAAATTTAATTATTTCTAAAAATCCACGTTATAATGCTTTTAATATTTAATTATAATCTAAAATTTTAACTGAAATTCATTTTTGAAACCATTTTTATTGGTAAATTCGACGAAAATTCAATTATTTAAATACAAAAATAAATAATTTATTAATTTCATGTTTCTTGAAATTAAATTCTCATAAAAAATGTTATCAACAAATTTTTTAAATCAT